GTGGAAATGATAATCTTCATGTGGAAGCATTTTGATGAAAATGTGACGCATGACTATGCGCACATAAAAGACCTAGCAGAATTGTGGCAAGTCCTGAAAGAAAGGTTTGACAACCAGAAGGATATCAGCCTTCCTCATGCTCTAGAAGTGTGGAAAAACCTGAGTTTCCAAGACTTCGAGAGAGTGGACGAATATAATTCCGCTATGCTAAGGATACTCTCACAATTGAAGTATTGTGGAAAGCCTATCACAAAAGCAGAAATGCTCAAGAAGACTTATGTCACTTTCCACAAAGAACATCTTGTCCTGCAACAGATATATAGAAAATGCGGATACACAAGGTTCTCTCAAATAATTGTGACACTCATGCTGGCTGAGGGGAATAATCTGCTCCTTATCAAAAACCACAATTCTCGACTTACGGGAACCAAAGCATTCCTGGAAGTGAATGCAACAGGTGCAGAAAATCTAAGAAAAAGTCAAACCTATCGTGATCGTGGCCGTCAATTTAACCGCGGACATGGGAGAAGTTACAATGCGCAAGAGGGAGGGGATCAAACAAATGGGTTAGATCCGAAATACATTCCAAAGGGAAGGAAACCCAAGTAGCCCCCGCCCTGAAGCGTGAGGATGCATGTTACAGATGTGGATGCAAAGGACATTGGTCCCGCACATATCGAACCCCTCCATATATTTTTAAGTTGTACTAAGAGGCCACAAAAGGCAAAGGAAAAGTAGTAAACCTCACTGAACACTTTGAGGGTACATCGTACCTTGACTCCTTCGACTTTGCGAATGATTTTGATGAGGCCGATATCGGGAATAACTGAAATGCTTGTAGTGAGACTACTGAATAATCTCCAGTAATGCCATATATAATTATTACAATTTCAGTTTTAAAAACGAATAATGTTGTTTCTCACAACTATATAATGTATAATTATTGTGTGTTTCTTTTCTATTAATGAAACTTGCTTTGGATTTTTTAATGTTTATGTTAACTACAGAAATAGATCACAATACGAATAGAACAATATCCACGAAAAAGGATTTGAGAAACTTGTATACCATATAGTGGAACGACGCACACTATTCTGAGACAAAATAATTATTTCTCTAGTCTAAAACCGACAAACATCATTGTCAATACAATTTCAGGTCCTGTAGACTTGATTGAAGAAACTGGTAAAGCCTATTTTACGTTTCCCAATGTGACAAAATTTTCCATAGATAATGCTTTGTATTCTCCGAATTCTAAAAGGAATTTGTTGAGTTTTAAAGACATATACCTTCAAGGATATGATACCCAGTCTGCAACTGAGGACGAAAAGAATTATATGTACATAACTTCTAATAAATTAGGCAAACGGCTTATATTGGAAAAGTTCCTCGAACTTCCTTCTGGTTTACATCATACTTATATAGATGCAGTAGAATCTCATCTCGTGATCAATAGAAATCCAGATGATTTCCCATTATGGCATGATCGCCTCGGTCACCCATGCACCTCAATGATGCGTAAAATCATAGAGAGCTCACATGATCACTTACTGAAAATCTAGGAGATATATCAGGGAAATAAAAAGACATGTGCTGCATGTTCTCTTGGAAAATTGATCATAAGGCCATCACCAACCAAAATCGATAAAGAATCACTAAAGTTCCTTGAACGAATTCAAGAAGATATTTGTGGACCAATACATCCACCATGTGGACCTTTCCACTATTTCATGGTACTAATTGACGCATCCGGTAAATGGTCACATGTTTGTCTATTATAATCTCGAAAGCTGGCATTTGTGAGATTTTTCTAACTCAGATAATCAAACTGCGAGCTCAGTTTTCTGATTATCCCATTAAGAAAGTTAGATTAGACAACGATGGTTAATTCACATCCTAAGCATTTAATGATTATTGTATGGTAACGAGAATTGAAGTTGAATATTCTGTATCTTATGTTCACACACAAAATGTTTTGGCTGAATCATTAATCAAGCGTTTGCAATTGATTGTAAGACCATTGATCATGATCAAAACTTCCAACCTCTGTATGGGGACATGCCATTTTTCATGCAGAAGCACTCATTCAGATAAGGCCAAGTGTGTATCATAAGTATTCTCCATTACAGTTAGCCTTTGGTCGAGAACCAAATGTTTCTTATTTAAGAATCTTTGGTTGTGCTGTATATGTGCCAGTAGCACCACCATAACGCACAAAAATGGGACCAAAAAGAAGGTTAGGAATATATATTGGTTATGATTCTCCTTCAATTATATGGTACCTAGAACCACAAATAGGATACGTCTTTACGGAAAGGTTTGCTGATTGTCATTTTGAAGAAAATGTATTCCTGGTTCTAGGGGGAGAAAATAAAGAAATGGGAAAGGATATAAAATAGAGTGTACCAACATTATTACACCTCGTTCCTCCCACCAAACAGTCTGAACTAGAAGTTCAACGAATTATGCATTTGCAGAGTATAGCCAATCAACTACCAGATGCATTTGCAGATACCAAAATGGTAACAAAATCCCATATACCAGCTGTAAATTCTCCTGCTCGTATTGAAAGAGGAACGTGAAAGAGAAGACGATACACGTGAGTCCAAAACACGCTTGAAGCATGGTAAACCTGTCGGTTCTAAAAATAAAAATACTAGAAAGCAAAGGGAAACTGAAATGCAGAGCACACCCAAAATAGCGGAAAATATTTTGGAGAAAGAAAATAATGAGATAAATGATAACGCAAAGCATCCCGAATCTGAAGGAAATCATGAGATTTCTATCAATTACATCCAGAATGGAAAGATATGGAATCAAAATTAAATAGATGATATTGATGTCATTTTTTCATACCTAGTGTCTAAAGAAATAGATCAGGAAAACGAAGATCCAGAACCTGAGTCCATGTATGAATATCAAAAGAGATACGACTGTATATAATGGAAGGATGCTATACAAGTAGAACTTGATTCGCTTAATAAGCGTAATGTATTTGGACCTATTGTGCTCACACCTGTAGATGTGAGACCAATTGGATATAAATGGGTTCTCGTTCGAAAACGAAATGAGAAAAATGAAATTATGAGATATAAGGCTCGCCTTGTAGCCCAAGGTTTTTCTCAAAGACCTGGAATAGATTATGAGAAAACATATTCTTCAGTTATGGATGCAATCACATTTAGATTCCTGATGAGTCTAACAACTGATGAAAATCTAGAGATGTATCTTATGGATGTCGTTACAGCCTATTTATATAAAACATTATATATATATATATATATATATGAGAATTCATGATGTATTTAAGATGCCAGCAGCATTAAGTTCCAAACCCAAAGAATTATGTGCAATAAAATTGCAAAGATCATTATATGGATTAAAGCATTTTGGACATATGTGGTATAATCATCTTAGTGAGCCGCTAACGAAAGAAGGATATGTGAATAATCCAAATGCCCATGTGTTTTCATCAAGAAAACAATATCATAATAATCTTGGTATATGTTGATGATCTAAACATTATTGGAACTCGAGGGGAAATACAAAAGGCATCAAATTGTTTAAAAGGAGAATTTGAGACGAAAGATCTTGGACAGACAAAGTATGATCTAGGCCTACAAATTGACCATTCTCAAAATGGTATTTTCGTACATCAATCCACATATACCAAAAGAGTGTTAAAACACTTTAATATGGATAAGGTAACTCCTCTAAGTACACCTATGGTCGTTAGATCACTTAAGGTTTAAAATGATCCATTCCGACCACATGAGGAAAATGAAGAGATGCTTAGTTCTGAAGTACCGTATCTAAGTGCAATTGGTGCTCTTATGTACCTTGCAAATTGTACGCGACCTGGTATATCATTTGCTGTTAATCTTCTAGCAAGGTTCAGTTCATCCCCTACACAAAGACATTGGAATGGGATTAAACATATTTTCCGTTACCTTAAAAGGAGTACTGATTTAGGTTTGTTTTATCCAAAATGTTCAGATGGAAAAAAGGTTTATTTTACAGATGCAGGATACCTATCAGATCCACACAAAGCCAGATCTCAAACATGATACGTATTCACAATTTGAGGCACGACTATATCTTGGCGTTCTCAGAAACCGACGTTTGTGGCCACTTCTTCGAACCATGCTGAGATCATCGCACTTCATGAAGCAAGTAGAGAGTGTGTATGGTTAAGATCAATAAGCAACACATCCGATCAAGCAGTGGAATTCACGTAAATACGGAGCCAACTATCTTGTATGAAGACAATGATGCATGTGTTGCTCAACAAAAGAATCATACATCAGAAGTGATAGAACCAAACACATCCCTCCAAAATTCTTTTCATACACTAAGAACTTGAGAAGAATAAGGAAATTGAAGTAAGATATGTCTGATCATGTGACAATGCAGCCGATCTCTTCACAAAATCATTGCCCACCACTATGTTCAGAAAACATGTTCATAACATCGGAATGTGTCAACAACAAGACCTATAAGATGACACCTTACTCATTCGAAGGGGAGCTTGTGTGATTGTACTCTTTTTACCTAGCTATGGTTTTTCCTACTGAGTTTTTCTAGAAAATATTTTTAGCGAGGCAACAAAGATGTTAAAAAAGATTATAGTGACAGTGGTTTCTAAGAGAGAGTGTTATGAAAATTAAAAATGAACAGAAGTAAAAAATTATCGATTCAGGCTGCATGTGATAAATAAATTATGGACACTATGCGTACATAGTAAATTTCTCTTTTTATCTTCTATATAAATAAATGCTCTCGTTCATTTGTAACATACCAATCTTCAACAAAAATATAAAAAATAATAAAACTCTTTCTCTGGTCTCTTTCTTCAGTATCCTTTTTATACATATATAATATTTGTGTCTTTATTTATATATATTTATATGATAAATTATATAGTCTATTATAATAAGTAATACATATATTCTATAAAAAATAAATTTTTATGTAGAATACAACAATTAGAGTGTGGTCTAATGGTGATATGCCTCTACAAGTTCTATGATCACTAGTTCGGGTATCGTACTGGTTATACATCTGCAGTTGTCTTGGATTACTAATTCGACTATAAAAATTAAAATTTTCTTTTTAAATCTGTATAAATGAGTAAACCATTATTTTGACACATCCAGATCAATTTTTGATATATTGTCTATAATTTCAAATTTAAGCAAATGATTGGCCTAACGTCCTTTTACCTCCAAAGAGACTAGACTTGTTTATGCAGTAGTATCTCGATTAACAAAAAATATTTACATGTTTTCCAAAATCAGTATTTAATTACCAAGATACTCTATATTAACAACACACCCAAACCTTGTGTCTCTACGAGCTTATTTCCACGCCAAAGAAGAACGCTTGCTCGTCTATAATTACTTCCCGATGACAATCTTTTCACTCTTATCCATGGTATGTATCTAATTGCTGAACATCCACAATTGATAGCTTCTCTCAAGGCTCCTCTTTTATAGCAATGCAGAGATTTGATGGTTTGGATAGGAACATGGATACATTTTGCCATGACAGATCACAAAATCTCTACAACTTATGATTTGAACTGATCACGCTGTTATCATTCAACAACCAAGAATAGACATTGTAAGTATACACTATATAGTGATGAGTGTCACAAATATTTAAGCTATTTTCTATCTTTTCATTACTAGTAATGTTCCTACAGATTATAACACTAAGTGCTTCTGCAAACAAGTTGAGATGGATACCAATAGAGCTGAGATGGACTTATCAATTGCTTCTTGGCTATTATCAAATGAAGCGATGATGTTCATCAACCACAAGTAAACATCCACATCCTTTACAATTGATCCATAATTACTCTCCTTCTTTACAAACTGCTAGCTCATCTTTCTTTTTTATAACATCTTTTGACCTGAAAATTAGCTAATAGATCTACTCCTATTGTTGTATCGGTCAATTTGGAAACAATCCTACTGGTTCTTAAGCTAATTATCTAGTAAAATTAGTCTAGTAGGATGAATGATTAAAATATAAAGGGACCAAATATGAGAACATACCTTGAAAACTAAGCTCTTCTTTGCATCTTCAACTTACGGACCATTTTGTTTCTTCCATTTCCGCCTGCAAATATTTAAGCTTTTGTTAGAGACAAAACACAGAGTAGATATGTCACGGTTCCTTTGTGTTAGCGTATTCATCGTTTTGTCTTCAAAAAGGGACTTCAAAATGCTTTTATGCAGGAGATGATAATCTATCACTATAGATAACATAATCTTCTAGTTAAGTTTGACGATTAAATGCACCTAAACTTCAGATCACGCTCTAAGTTTCTGTTATAAACTCATAAGCTGAGACCAATAAAGGCGTTAGTAAGCAATAACGATGAAAAATGTATTTACCAAAGTGGACTTCAGATCAGCTATTGCATCCCTAATACGCTTGTGGCAGTCCGGAATCAACTCACACAAAACGTTTTCCTGCATCACACACATAGACAATTAGAAGAAAAAAAAACCAATAATTCAGAACCTAAAACCAAAAACATCATCAAATTTTCTTTCAATTAGATCACCAATATCCCAGAACCTAAAATTAAAACATCATGAAAATCAAACTAGAATCATTTACAAGAAGACAAAGATTGATGAAAATCTCAATGTAATGGTACCACATAAGTTTTTTGAGTAAAGTATTTGCGCTACAACTTTCCACTGATCTTTAATAATCATAAACCATCTTTGGTATTTTCTTATTTCTGATCTTCTCATATTCCAATTTGCTATCTCCATTTTATAAAAAAAAAATTTTACCACAAAGAAATTCCTGCCCGAGAACACATCTTTCAGTTTTCACTTTTCATCATCAAAATTACTTACCAAATTCCAGAACTTAAGAATTATAAACAATAACTAGGCTTAAACTAAAAAGCCAACTAACAATATAGTAACAGTCATAGAATTAAACACACAAAAGATCAATATATGACTGACCCACATTCTAAAATCAGAGGATCTTCATTCGCTGACTATTCGATCAAGACACGACCATCAATAGAGCAATCATAAACGAGAGCTTACCAAGTGATTGACTACCACTCACAAGACCATCTATCAGGCGCAACAGAAAGCTACACCGTCGCTACACCTTGCTCCTTTTCACACCAGTCAAAATCTGCAGCGAAACAGTTGATCAGAATCTCGGAACTCCGGCGAAGATCGTCAGATGTCGCATTAGTCTCGATATTTTCGGCTTCAATCCTCACCGAAGAACTCTCGATCAATCGCGATTTAAGAATTTTGGTTCTGAATTTTCGATCAAATCCTCCGCAACAAGTTTTTCCTCCATCATTAAGCATTAAGGGTAATATGATAATCTTTCAAGTTATATTTTTAAATAAGTTTTTTCAATAGTAGTTTTGAAAATGGTTATTTTAACAGTTGTATTTTTTTTTGAAATTTCAATTATATTAAGTAAGAATTTAGAAATATTAAGGAAATTATTTTATTTGCATGATTGTTAAATGTGTTAGTCACTCCATTTTGAAATGTTCTCCAATTATGTAAAATAATAAGAAGAATAAATGGGGAAAATAATTTGTTTTTTTTTTTGATTCAAAAAAGAAAATAAATATGATTAAAAATAATAAATCTAATTTAAATAGAAATATAAAAAAAACTAATTAGTCAAAACATCCCCTTTTTAATTATATTTTTTGGTTATCAAATTAGTTTTTACTAATAAATTTGTAGTCGTGATTAATATATATGTTTTATTTTATCTAGTTATAATTTTTTTTATTTTAACAAAAAAAATTATATCTAATGTTGTTATTGGGTTAAAACAAGATTCAAAATGTTTTCATTGTTTAAATAAATAAATATAAAATAATAAAAAATAACAAGATACAAAATGTTTTTCATTTTTTCATTAGTTTTAAAAAAATTAATGCTAATATATTTCATTTTTAGATTAGTTTATTTATTATATAATATTTAATTAGTTTTTCCAATATTTTATGCTATGTTTGTATATAGTTATAATTTTTACTATTTAACAATAATTATAAAAATTATTTCGTATCATTTTGTGTTTGTTGAAAGTAAATTATTTTTTAAAAAAATATTATTATTTTACGATAATATATAATTACGAATATAGAAATTATAGTTGATCAATTAATTAATTAATTAGTAAATAATCATTCAAAATTAGCTATTCAGTATAGAAAAACAAATTGTAATCTACGCAAATTTTTCTCATTTGATTTAATCACACAAAATGCCAATATTGATAACACTTTTCACCACATATCTGGTAACACTGTTTACACTCATCCAATAATACTATTTATCGAAGGTTAACTCCTTCCCTTGACCAAAAAAAAAAAGTTAACTCGTTCCAGTATTTTAATGTGTTAAACCAGGTAGCATACTATAAATAATATTATGTTAACTGATTTTATCATATCTTAAATTAAAGTATGAAATTATCATATTATACCAGTTATCATATCATATAACTATTATATTCATCGAGTTAACATATCATATTAAATATAAAAATATATTAATTATGTTGTTAACAAAATTATCATATAAAAGAAAATATGAGTTATTAAGTAACTTTGCTATTAAGTATATTTTCTATTATACAGTAATTGTGTTAACATGGTTATTGGATAAACAAATTTTGTTGGACGGATTGTAAACAATATTATCAGTGTAAATAGTGTGAATGGTGAATAATATTGTGAAGATTTTATGTTAATAACAAAAAAATAGACAATAATATTTTATATAAATAGTATATAAACATAAAGGTATCAAAGATTTTTTTATGGATTTTCTGCTTAAAAACCCTCAACCTAAATTAATATTGCAAGAACAACCTCTACCTAAATAAATGCAAGTCAATACACACACCTACAATGTCATCCGTAATATAACCCTTTTATATGTCCTCGACGTAGCTTGGTCGAACGTCTATGAAACTACTCACAGAAATAAAAGCGCTCCATTTTTAATGGGTTAAATGGCACGAAGTTTTGCATTAGTTGTGTAGTTTTTGTGAGAATTGGGGAAAAAATAATTGTTTAGAGTTTCTCGCAATTTTTCTAGATAGAATTGGAAAAAATCAATCTGAGAGTTTGTAAGGAGTGTTGAGAGTGTAAGAATATCTGTGTCGAGTTTGAGTAAAGAGATAGTTTGTGTAGATTGTATGGGTTTTGGTTATTAAACTATGAAGGAGAAACACGGACCAAAAGATCAAATCGATCGATTTGAAGATGAGGTAATTTCTAATCTCTAAATATTCATGATTGAAGTTTGATTTTAGTACTGTATTTTGATTTTCAATAGATTTCATTGTCTTCTTCTCAACATTGACTCTGAATCGGTTTGCATTGCAGCAGTTTCGATCTCTATATTTACAACGGTGGGTACTGGTCACCCGATGATGTATATCTTGGTGGGAAGGTACATCCAGCTGGGAAACACTTGGCTGACAGACTTAGTTTGACAATGGTCCATATGCTCAGAATCCAGTATATTGGCTATCAAGAGAACATGAGCAAGATATTTTGGTTTCCACCATAAACGCCTAACAAGAAAGAGGATATAGATGATGCTGAGACAATGTGGGAAAGTGGTACATTACGAAATAGGGCCAGGTGCGTTCACATTATTTTCTGCCTGAGAAGATGATCCTTATATAGGTCGAAGAATAGGTTTATAAGTTTCTGGTTATCTGATGATGATGGTTTGGCTAAAAGTGACGATATCGATAATTCTTCAGGTGATAAGGCATAACTTAGAGAGAATGCTGATTATTTAGGTCATGTTTTTGGATGTGGGAATGATACTGATAATGATAGTGATAGTGATGATACTAAGAGGCATGAGATATATGATTCTAAATATAAGAATTTTTTGATTGGTCAAGAGTACAAGACAATTGATATTTTCAAGCATCCGGTTAACAAATATGCACTGAAGAAGAAAAGGGTTCTTATATATAAGAAATCTGATAGAAGGCATTTCACATCAATCTGTTCAAATGAGAAATGCTCTTGGAGACTATATGCGTCAAGAAACAGTTCTTCAACTCGGATTATCATAAGATCATTGCAAGAGAAACCCAATTTCACTTAGCAAAGAAAGATCTCTCTTCTTACGAATGCTAGAATACCAGTTATCTACACTGAAGAGTTTAGGTTGAACCCGGATTTCTCAGCCACTCAGTTGCAAAAAAAACTATTGTCTACAAACATTAATGTTCACTAATATTTTTTTTTAATATTACTAAAATTTTATATGTTATAATATATAATTATTTAGTCACAAATTGTTTATTGTAACTAAAATATTATAAATTTTTAGAAGTCGCAACATAATCATTGCAAATTCATTTTCGTCTTAAAAACGTTACAAAGTTTTTGTGATAATTAACAATCTATCACCACTTGTGACGATATTAAACCAGTTACAAAAATGACACAATTTATGACAAAGAATATTATCACAACTAAGTCACAAATTATACAAATTATGACAAAAATAATGTTGCGAACTCTGTTAAAATTTGTTACTATATTATAGTCACAAAACAACACAATTCATGGTAAACAATAGAATCACAATGTGTAAAAAAAAATTCACATATTTATCACAAATTATTACCATCTTTAAATTACTAATTTATTCCAAATTGTAATAAAAATTCTTTACCACTTCTTAGTTCGTGATTCATTACTCACAACAAACAGTTAAAGAGATTTATGGGTAATTAAATAATTATTTACAACTAAAATTCTAAATTAATCGGTTTTTTTCTAAAATTTTTTTTTTTAATATAATTCTTTATTGATATTAATATTTTATTTTCTGACTTACAATAAATGATCAAATTTAAAAAACAGAAACTAAAATTATTTTTGTCATTGTCTTAACCACCAAACCGCCTCCTCTATATATATCACCACCACGATCGCTGTAGGTCGTATCGCCGATTAAGGACCAAGATTCTGTCTTTGTGACGGCGGAGAAGCAAGAGACCAATTCGCCATGTCCGTCGAGCAGCATGCCGAAAGACCCGGAGGGTGTCGACGAAGATCCCGGTTTTAATCCTCACGAGTTCTTGCTTCGTTGGGGCGGGGATTGCGGCAAGTTTAGTCTGGGAATGTAGGGCGAAGCCAAACCAAGGGACGTCGGTGGAAAAGCTGAAGCGGTTCGCTTGTTTTTCTGGAATGGCTCAACGTCTCGTGCAGGGTCTAGGCCTGTGCGCATCTTTGATTGACTCGTATGACCGAGAATCGGTGCGAGAAGAGAAAAAAGACGAGGAACTGACAGTCAAAGGATCGAGAGCTCCGTGACGCTTTGGCGAAGATCAAAGAGCTTGAGCACGAGAAGCTTGGTTTGGAGCTTAAATATCAGGCTCTTAAAGTCGAATCTGCTAAAGAAAGACAACTCCACAGGAAAGCTTGGAGAAGATAGCGGTCAAAGAAACCAAGAAAGCAGCTGCCGCCGAGAAGGAGTTCCAAGGTCAACAACGCAAATCTGTTGAGCATGTGGTCGACCTGATGTACCGACATTCGCGCGAGTGGTACGACCCCCACATTGAGCGGATTAAGGCGTTTATGGCGTAGCAGCCCGACATCCACATGCTCGAGCTTAAAATCGTTGATGCCGAGGCAAGAGCGGATTGCTACAATCGTTGAGGTCGGCAGGACACGAGGTTCCGGTTAAGGAACTTCTGTCCCACTCCGCTAATGCCGACCGTTTGAAGATGGAGCGTCACGGGATCAAGGATGCTCTGCTTACTCAGGACGACTTCGCCGCTCCAACACGGGTTGAGACGGCTGGGATTCAAGTGCCAAAGCGGCGTTAAGCTTTTTTTTTTTTTTTTTTGTAATGATTTTTTTGTTGTTGTTTTTAGAAAATGTATGCGAGATAAACGCTTTCTTTTCCTTTTTCAATGAATCAAATGAGACAGTTAGTTTAATGTTTTTGCTTACGCTCGTTGACAATGTGACCCTTATTTTTAAGGGTTTTGCGAAGTCAAAAAGTTTCTTTTGTCTTGCGGTGCGGAGGTATTCTTTAGGCCGGTGCTGGAAGCGAGATTCATTCGCTCGTCTTATACCAAACGGCAATCAAGATAGAATACCAAGATTTC